ACAAGGCGGTTGTACTTGGTGTAATCCTCGCGACGTTGAATGTGGTACCGGTGCATCACCTCCGAGGTTCGGCGGTTCCGCTCGGTGAAGTCCACCTTCTTGAGGAGCTTCTGTTCATGATGCTTGAGCTTGCGCACCATCCTGCACGGTGACGCTCTTTCCACTCGAGCTCAACAGAGAGAAAACGCTCTTCGAACAAGCTGCTGCTTCTTCTTCTTCTCCCTATCACACGTGGTGTGCTTTGTGACCTTTTGGTGATTTTTTTTCTGACAAAGATGTTGTTTATTCTGATTTTTTTCTGACAAGGAAGCTAAAGGGCATTGGCAGCAGTTTGAAGTTGGCGCGCCAGATCTTCGAGATCGGCCGTCTCAAAGCCATATGTGGCCAGTTGCTCAAGGCGGGTGAGCTGGGCTGACCAGCGTCGTAGCCCATGCTCGACGTCTGAACCTACGATTGCCAATAAGCCAAGCCCCAGCCAGCATCAGGCACATGTCCAGACTTCAAAAGGGTCATGGCGAAAAAACGAATGGAACGTCGAGACCAACCAGCGCCCACACGGTCCTGCAATCGTTCTAGCTGCGCTTGAACTGCTTCTTGGAAAGCGGCGACCTCCTCAGAAGTCCTCAAAGGTGAGCGTACTTCCTTTTGCATTTGCAGCAGAGACTTGCGCACTTGTTGAACCATGCGACGATGAAACGTGTCCATCTGCTTGCCAAGCTGGTGCAACGCCTGTACCTGTGTGCCGTGTGCGTGTCGAGTGCGTGTCGAGTGCGTGTTGAGTGCGTATCTCGGTCAGATTGTTCAGGCCGGAAACGCAGTCCAACAAAAGAGGTTTCATCAGCATATCTCACCTGAGCCGTGGCACTGGTGGTGGACGCGCTTCGCGTACTCAGACTACGGTGTGCCTGTTTTCCAAACATAACACGTTCACATGCCGGCAAAGCTAGTGAGGCCGCGTCTCTCTCATGTGATTCTTCCATCCACTTGAGAGCAGGAGAAGTCATCAAGATTGATCTACTCTACATATATGGGGCAAGACATACCATGGTTCGCCAATATTGGTTTTCGAGCGTCAGGGCTTGCAGCAAGTTCTGAAGTCGACCGTGGTCTTTGGCTAAAACTTTGAGTTCAGCCGTGCTATTTGGGATGCGCACGGCAGGCACGAAGAATGCATCGGCCCCCGCCCCGGCCTCAGTCTGAACCCCAGCCTGATCGATGGGCACAGGCGGGTTTGCGACCGATTTGTCTGAACGGCGGTGTGGAATCATTCCCGGTGTTGGCAACAATAGGCGCAGTTGAAGGAGGCGTCGCGAGAGATCGAGCTGCACGGGCTCCATGGCCACGGGCAGGCTCTCGGCCACAGCCTTGCTGAGCACCTCTTCAAGCTCGGTCACTCGCGCAAAGAGTGTTGCGGGCACATGACTGTCCACAAGGTCGAGGACTGTAGGCTTGGCCACATCTGCGTCAGGTGCCGTTGCTGCGGTTGAGGCTTCCAAGGCCTGAGCATCAGCCTCACCCATCAAATAGGCTGCCCAGGGATTGGGCGGCAGTGGGGTGGCCTCGGAGCGCTCTTGGACCAAGCGATGCAGCGATTCCACGTGCCGCATTGCGGCCTGCAATTTGCCTCGCAGTACACGAAGCTCATGCGCCGTCGGGCCGGGTCCAGGAGAGTCAGCATCACCACGTGCAATATGGGTGGACACATGGGTCCGGTCACTGCCGGCGCTGTGCTGCGATGCTCGCTTGAGGCGTCGCGCCATGCCGGATGCCGCCATGACATCCCCATCTGCCCCAGCCAGATCCTGCAGCTCCAAGAGTGTGTTTTCAAGGCCCTGCACTTGCTCACCGCGCTGGGCCAAGTGGGCCAGTAACTGACGGACCTGGGGTTGTGATGGCGACGCAGCATTTGGCGCATGAGAGAGGCAATGGCAACAATGGTGGGGGCGTTTGACGTGTGCGTGCGCGTGGTGTGTGTGTGTGTGTGTGTGTGTGTGGGCAAAGCCTTGATTTGCCATGTCGAAACCAGACCTGAGTCAAGAGAGCCAGGTTGTGGGCCTCCATGGCGGCAAAGCGGTCACGGAGGGCATTGAGGGTTCCCGGCGCTACGGGTGCGTGGCGCGCAGTTCCGGGGCGGGATGCGGTAGCCGATGATATAGCCGTGCTGGGGCGCGAGCCTGAGCCCACGGAAGGGTACAAGGCATGAGTTCCATAGGAGGAGAAGGCGAGGAATGGCTTTCTTTCACGGCCTCGGTATTGACATACTCAAATGCACAGAGTTTACACCAGCAGAGTCCAGCTTTGGTCGAGCCTCGGGACTGCCGGCTTGTCCGTGGGGTGGAGAGCTAGGAGGTAAAGCAGATGGCTTGTTGCGGCGAAGCAGCGTGGGAATGGGTTGCTCATCATGCGGGAGTGGAGGACGGCGGGCGCGAGGTGCAGACTCGTTGCTCGGTGCGGCACGGGCACTCGATGCCGGGAGTGGTGGTCGTGCATCTGCCACGTCAAGGAGGGTGTGGAGCAGTCTGTATCAAAGATTGCAAGTGTGGCAGGGTCAGACCAAGGCCCACAAGTCACAGGTTTGCGAGCTCAGCACAGGCTTGGGAACAAGAGCAGACAAATGCCTACCGAAAGACATCCACGGCACTTGCATCCAGCACCAGTTTTTCGGGTGCGATGCGCAATTTTTTTTTCCTGGCACCAGCGGAAGAAGTTTGTTGGCAGAATGAGCGGCACAGGCGGCGCGAGTCACTCAGCGGCAGTGCACGCGCGCTCTTATGCGTGTAGCGCAAGGTGGAGGGGGATGGGGTGGCGGATAGATTACACACGTGAGCTCTCGAGCCTTGGTGAGGAAGATCTGTGCAAAAGTCAGACGGTAACCCTCTTCGTGTAGTTCGCGTTCGGAATCAGGCAGGCCGCCTTCGCTGCTGCGCTGCTGTTTGCGCACGCTGATTCAAGGAAGCGGACGGGGGCATGATGAGGGGTCAAAACCATCAGGAACAGCTGGCGCTTCCCAAAAAAAAAAAAAAAAAAAAAGGAAGGAGGGGGACACCCGATGCATCGAGTGCTGACCTTTGCATTTCATAGAGCACGGCGCCAGCATCACGATCGAGTAAGCTCAGGCTCAGGATAAAGAGCTTTTCACGTAGGCTCCAGCGAAACCGGGACAGCTGCTCCGCCGAGGGCAGCGCAAAAGCCGACCAAATGGGGTCATTTCCATCGGATTTGAGCTGGCGCAATCGCGCATGCAACCGCGACGCCATCCCTCACAACAACTCTATGAATCCACGAGATGATCGACCGCCCTCGTCGGCCCCCACATCTCATCTTCAGGCGCCGAAAAAAAGAGTAAAGGTTCGGGGTGTTAAAGTTTAAGTTAGAGGAGAGAGAGGGAGAGAGAAAAAGAGGTCGAGAAGAAAAGAAAAGGTATAAGCAGCAAAAGGCACAGAGGAACAGCACAACTACCACATGTAGAGAGAAGTGAGGGAGAAAGGAGGCACAGCAAAGTCACACACACACACACACACACACACACACACACTCACACACACACTAACACGCACAAAGCAAGGTGTCATCACAAGCAACAAAGTCCAACAGCAACAGTACAGTACACATAGCAAGCGACAACGTCCAACACAAGGGCGTCAAAGTGGGGTTTTTGTGGCATCGCTCGAGGGTCGTGCCCGGTGGGCCTGTGGATCAGTGCGGCTTGGTGAGCTGAGTGGTGAGGGTGAGGCTTGGCGAGGGTAGAGGGGGGGTAGGACGGTCGGTTGTTAGCGTGCTGCTGGATGGTGTTCGCTCGCAGTGGGGCTGGCGGGTGAACTTGCCGCTGCCATACCTGCCGCCTACAAGCGATTTTGTGCCAATCCGGTCTGCTTGTGGGGCCTGTGGACCTGGTGCCATGTCTCTGCGTCGCGGGTCAAGCCGCGACCTTTCCTTTCAGTGGTTTGGAAATCAGGCTGTTTTTCTTGGCCCAGCAGAACTTGCTCTGTATACCACGGCCTGGAATGACCATCTCGACCAGGAGGCCTCATCCACGTTGATTGGGCGCTTCGAACAGACGTTTGGCCGCATCTTGCTGGTGGCGACGTTGTTCAAGCGTTCGCAAAAGCGAAGCATGCTAACCATTGCCAATTGGAAGCGGCGGACAGTCATCATCACGGAAACCTGCCTGCTCTACGCTTCAGGCAATCCCCTGTTGGAATCCGACGCTAAAATTCGTGGGCAAGTGGCTTTGGACGCCGTGATTGAGGTCTCGGCCGTTCCTCCGACCGTCTTTCATCAAGACTGCATTGTCCTTGTTCGCCACGAGCACGATCTTCACATCGACTGCGAGGGGCTCTCACCCAGCATCTTCATCACCGTGCTGACGCGGGCGCAAGGAAATCATGCCGCCACGGTGGCGCGTGTGATTGACAACTACATCCCTTTTCGTTACGAGGCTTGCAACCCGCGTCCCGCCTCCGAGCTCTCTGTGGTGCAAGCCACCCGCGAACACCTAGGCGCCGAAGCAGGCTTTTACGTGCTTGTTGATTTGTGCTATCTCCACAACGTCGATGACTGGCTGCAAAAGGCCGCCGACGTTACGCGTCTCCTTGCCACCTGCCGCGAAAAGGTGTCTGTGACCAACGTTCCCAACTGGCTCGTCCTTGTGGAGCCCAACCAGGTGGCCGCACTTGATCCACTCTTCCTAATTCACGCTGCAGATACCGAAGACGTTTTGTCAAACTTGGCCAATCGCTCCGAGCTGCGCGATTACTTTATCGAGGCCATTGCCCGGCGTCATCTCGGCAATCTGGACTCATGGCAGGAGACCTCGACTGGCTCAACGGTCCGCCTCTGGACCTGGGTGGACTATTTTGGGCTTTGCGGCATGAGCGAGCGGTCTGATGATCCCTATCGAGTACGTCGTCATTGCACATGGGCCTTGTCATACACCAGTGCCCCCGCCCGTGTCTGCTTCTGCTTCTGTCGCTGTGTCTTGCTACACCCAGGCTTGCTTTCGGCTGAACAACAGGCTCACTTACATTGCACCTTTGCATCTGCATCTCAAAGTTGTGGGCGCTGGGTCATCACTTGGATGATGTCTTACCAAAGTGTCGAACCCACGCCATTTGGGATGGGTTTGTGCCATTGACCTTTGAGCTGGCCGCAGACCATCTTCTCCGTCCGGTGAGTAAAGCACCCTCCAACCCTTGGACTGGGGCTCGAACTTCTCGCGTTGCAAGGTTAATCATCGCCTCGTCCAACCATGGTGGTTAGGCGCTCGAATTATCTGGATTGGCCACCGCCCACAATGCCAGCACGGATGATTGCATCAATCTCCTCATCAGCAGCCATCAGGTGGATCCGTGCCCAGGGCTGCTGAAGCTCAACTATCGCGAAGACTTCAGCCTTCGTCATCAAGTAGTAGTGCTGGCGCTACGTCAACTACCCGATGCTGATCCTGTGCTGGACCCCCTCGCGCGTCCGGCTCTGACCTGGCAAACGCGCGCCGAGAGTTTTGAGTGCGAGCGTACTTGGTTGCACCGCGTGTTCAGGCGTTGGCAAGACGCGGTGAGTTCGGCTGCCCTCCAAGCTTTTCCCTGCCATGCGTGGTAAAGCCTCACTGTGCGTCGCGGGTTGCACTGCTGGCCGGTGCTTGGCTTGACGTGTTCGTTGTAGTTGGGGTTTGACGACAGCGTTGAAGAGGAACTGCTGCCTTTTTTTCGAGAACAGCTCGCGCCTTCGGAAATGCTCTCCGGTACCTTGCTCGGACTTCTTTCGGCCGGCTTTACCCAAGTGGCCCTGCGCGAAGAGCATGCCTGCTTAGTCCGGTGTGTGCAGCGGATGGTGCGCCACGCGTGGGGTCGTGCTCAAGCACGGTTTGGTGAGGACAAGGGCGCCGTGGATACGGAGGCCCTCAGCGATGTACTCGACACTGAGAGCGGAGCGCTTCTAGACATGGCAGTGATGGCACTGTGCGGTGCGACCACGGCCCCGGAGCTGCCTCAAAACCTATGCCAGAGCCTGGTTCGATTGGCCTGGTTGATTGCTTTGGACGCGGCTCAGGACGCGCAGGACCATGCGCGGTTGTTGCTGTTGGCACTCGCGCTGGTCGAGGTCCGTCTTTCAGCGCGCACGCATGCTTGGGCTGCATATCTTGATCGGTGGGCACAGGACGCTACCATTCTCGACTTTCTGGCGGCGCTGCTCGAAGCACACAATCTTCCAGCATTGCACCTACCCTGCCACGAGTTTCCCGCCACCACCCGCTTGCCTGGTGAGCTTTTGGTTTTATGCGCAATTTTGCGTTATCCGCCCAGCGCGCCCAGCACGACAACGGCTGACCGATGTGTATGCGTGTGTGTTGTGATTTTTGGTGACTTTTTGAAGATGACACGGTGGGCATGGCAGTCCGAGACCTGGTGATTATGCTCAACGGCCAACTGCCCGTACCTGAGGTGGTGCCCGAACTGGACGTGGCACTGGGTCCCCCGGTCGACTGGCATCGTTGCGCCCTCGTCTTTGGGGCGGCAGTTACCGAGGACGACGGCGAGAGTTTTGGCTTTGAGGCTGCCGAAGCTGAGGTTGACAGTGCGATCGCGACATCGCTCGTCTTTCGTGATGGCTTTAAGCTCCGCCAACTCGGTGCTCATCCCATGCCGCTATCATAGCATAGGTTGCTTGCCGCAGTGTGTGATGACATTGCATTATTTTTATTTGCGAGTGGGACGAGAGAGAGGTCAGGCCTTTTCTTTTTCCTTTTTTTTTCAACATTTTAATCGCAAAGAGTGTGAGAGTTTGTGTGTGTGTGGTTGCATAACAGGATTGGGTAACAATTGTCACAACCTCTTTTCTTTTTTTTGTCCAAAATTGGCTTTCGCGTATGTGGTAATCCATCAAGTCAATCTTTTTTTTTTTGGGGGGGGGGGGGGGGGGGGGGTGGTTAT